AGAGAGAGAGAGAGAGAGAGAGAGAGAGAGAGAGAGAGAGAGAACCAGGTCTTCATGTTTTTTGCATTGATCCTAGCCAGTCTAAGACCCTTTCCCAGTCCAAAGGCAGCACATGCTTAGTGAAGGCCACAGACTCTGTCGTGAGACCCTCAGGGGTCTCGACTGCCACGGACTAGTCTTCTGACGCTGGGCAGATCCCTCAGCACTTCAGCTCCCTCGTCTGTAACAGGAGGGAAAGAACAGCGCCGGCTTCGCAGAACTGTTTGCGCAGGTGGTGCTGAGAAAGCCCCTCGCGGGCTTTTATCCCAGCTTGGTAAGATCACAGTTCCCTCTGAGTTCGTTTTCCAGCCCTGAGATTGAGGAGACCCCAAACGGACCCCAGTCTGTGGCCCTCCACTTCTCTGGGGGCCAGGAAAGAGGATGCAGCAGTGCCTTATCCAGGTTGGTCCCTTGAACCCCGGGGGAGACACTGTGGTAAGAATCTATAGCACCCAGGTTGGGGAGGAATCCTTCAGTGCCGGTGCAGACTCTAAAGGAGCAAAGATCCGGCTCAAGACCATGCAGCAAGTTAAAGCAGAGCCAGGAAATTCAGCCAGGTCTTTGGCTTTTCCAGGACTAGAAGTTGCCTGTTTATTTTCTAATTGGTGGTCTAAGAGAATGGTCATGCCAAGAGCAGCAATACGTGTGTTCAGAACAATCAGAACAGTCCTTGGAACAAATCATGGTGCTCTATTTTTTTAAAGTATATAATCATTTAAGTTATTTATTTATATTTATTTATTTACTGTCTTTTCTTTTTTTCTTTTTTTTTTAATGCAGAAAAGGTTTATTTAGCACATAGTTTGTAGAGGTTTCAGTCCGTAATTAGCTAGCTTCAAATTTTACTGTCTTTTCTGAGGCAGGGTTTCATTATGCAGGTCAGGCTGGCCTTGAACTCCCAATGATTGTCCTGCTTCAGCCTCCCAAGGGCTAGGATGACAGGTGCGCTGCACCACCTCGCGCCTAAGCTTCTCTTTATTACTCCGTAAAACTCTTCTGTCTCCTGCCCTGTCCTTCGCTGAAGGAGGGGAAGCCATCCCAAAACTAGTGGTTTCTTCTGCACCCCCGAGGGACAGCTTTAAAACTACTTACTCAGTTCATTCCCCGAGTGGCTTCCAAAGACCTTTCCAACTTTAGGGGAAGAGGAGAAAACCAGCCCCAGAGATTGTCCTCCGGGAGCCTGCAGGAGGGGCACTAGCCCTGGCTGTCACCTGAAAGGGACCGCGCCCCACGCCCACCCTTTGCGGGAGGCGTGCCGGGGAGCTCACGGCTGCTCAGGCACACGCGAGGCAGACGCACCGCTTTTCTTTTGGGGAAGAGGTTGATATTTTAAAAGACATTGACAAAACCATCGCAGGAAATGTGCTCTCTGCTGAGGTTTCCCCTCCACCTTCTTCTTATTAAAGACGTTTCCTATTTGAATGAGCCTGGGATGGCGTCAGGCCCCTCTTTCAGGTAACCCGTAGGTAATCTTGCCCAGGGGGCTCGAAGTCTCAGTGACCCCTGCAGAGCGGTGGCAGTGACTCCCACTGGGCAGCGCTGTCCGGTGCCCCCAGACGCGTGGTGGATACCGAGAAAGTGGCGAGCATTAATATCCTTTAAGGACGCAGGAGGGGGTCGCTGTCGTTGCACGGCCCTGTCACAGTACAGCTCGCGTGTATTGCTACGTTAAGGTCTGTTGTGTATGTTTCGGACCCGAAATAGACCAACTTCGGCAAACACTCTTTCTTATTTCTGAGGTCTCTCGATATTTAGGGCGGTGCAGAGGGAAGCCAAGCAAGACAGGAAAAGTGCCAAACTTCGGACGCTGCTTAGGCCCCAGCACTGTTTATTTCATCTCCCAGCACTAAGTTTCCTTTATACCAAACAAAACTCAGAACCTAACGGCAGTGTTCATTTTTAGTGCAGTTGTGGGAGGAAAAATATGGAACGCTTCACGAATTTGCGTGTCATCCTTGCGCAGGGGCCATGCTAATCTTCTCTGTATCGTTCCAATTTTAGTATATGTGCTGCCGAAGCGAGCACGATCTTCTGGTTTTCTAAGGAACTATATAAAAGCAAGAGTATAAAATCTTTTACAGTTATGGTGAGTAGTTTCTCTACCGTTTAGTGACAAACTGTTCTAAAACCTATCATGTTTCTCTGGATCTCATACTTGTATTTGGTCCTTGCGTCTTTGTAGTTAAGGCTAAATTAAATCTAATTTTCAGCCTAACTTCAGCGCACCTTGTATGCAAATGAAGGGACCATGGGAAATCGGCCCTCTTTCCGCCCGACCTCTGCGCGCCTCGCGGCGGGCGCCGGCAGTCACGCTCGGTCACGTGGTACGCGTCGTGCGCGCGCTGGTTCCGCGCCGGCGCTTGAGTGCTGAGGAGACGCGTCCGTGCCGCTCTCGGAGCGCGGCGCTAGTTACGGCCGCGCTTGGCAGCGTTTTTCGGAGTCCGCGCTGTGCAGCTTCAGCCTGTGAGAAGCGTCCGCTTTGCACCCTAGACTTCCAAGACCGTGAGGAGCTGAAAGAGGTTCTGGACAAGGTCGCCACACTTTGAACTCGCGTTTACTTGGCGTTTCCCTCGTCTGTTTGCGCTGGGGGTTACACGGGCCTTTCCCGCTTGGACCGGTCCCCAAGGCTCGGCTCCCTTTCCTTCCTACCTTTGCTCCTTCTTGCCACCAGCACTGAGCACGCGCTGCGGCCCGAGGGCTGACTGGCGGGAGCTTCGGTGCCAGCTAAGAAGCCAGGCAGGCCTGGAGTGAGCTGTGAAGGAAGGGGGTGACCTTCCGTGGAAGCCACCGTGGTGGTACCCAATGCTCCGCACAGTGCTTCTGCTTGGTACCTGGAGAGCGGAGCCCACCCGGCCACTGGGCATCGCCTGGGCTGGCCTTCGGGAACCTGAGTCCTTCTCTCCTGTGCGAGGCGCAAGCTGCCCACCTGCTCGCCTGAGCCGTCCGGAAAGCAGCTGTAAGCAAAGGCAAACCTCAGAATGCTAATGTGGCCTTTGTGGAATGCAAAAAAAAAAAAAAAAAAACAACTCATTTGGGCAATGATGTCTCCCTCCGATTTGCGAAAGGGAATTGCAAATAACCAAAGAGCGTATTAGTGTTGATGGGAGATAACGCTAATCTCCAGTTAGCATCCACATTTTTACTCACTTATTTGGAGGGGAAGCCTTTTCGGCACGGTCTGTGCGCACACGTGTCGCGGTGACAGGTACAGCTTGTGGCTTCGTAGCTGCCTTATTGTGGAAACCAGCGGGAGACAGACCCGGTTATTGTTCACCATTTCTGGCTACACTATTTTGAGCCAGAGTGTTTTTTGGTTTGTTTTTTTTTTTAATCTTTTTTTCCCTCATTGTGAAGCAGAGGAGAGAGATCTGTGTTCCAGGTCCCATTCCTCTTTGGCCAACTGCCCTGACCTTTATGTCTCAACCCAGTGAGGAAGCAGCCCTGGAGATGATCTTCAGCATTCCTCACCCTTGACATGCTGCGATTCTTGGAACCAAGAATCCAAAGGGCTTTTCTGGAGAGTATAATTAGAAGGATGTAAAAATCCAATACTGCTCTTCATTTTCTGTTTCTGAGGGTCATCCCTGAGGTGAGGAAGCCCCAGGAACAGGCCACAGGCTCTGCTGTGGCCCTAGGGCTCCGAAGCCTCCTGAAACATGGGCTCACCTCACCCTGAGGGCCCAAGGTTGGGGGCTGCTCCCCCACTTAATGTCCTGGAAGCTTGGTTTCCAGCACAGTGGTGTTGAGGTGGGGGAATCCTTAAGGGGTAGGATGTGGTGAAAGGCAATCACGGGTTCATGCTTTTTATCCCAGGACTGAGTTCTTGCTCTTGAGGAACTGGATTGGTTGTCTTAGGAGTTGTTATAAAGGGGCTGGGGCGATGGCTCAGTAGAGTAAGTGCTTCCCTGGCAAGTACAAGGGCATGAGTTCTGCCAAAAAAAAAAAAAGTTGTTATAAAACAGATTTGACTGACTAGCTGTCTTGCTTCCTCTTTTACTGTCTCTGTCTCTCTCTCTCTCCCCCTCTCCCTTCCGCTCTCCCTCTCCCTCTCCCTCTCCCTCTCCCTCTCCCTCTCCCCTTTCTCTCTCCCTCCCTGCCTCCCAACTGCTTTTCTATCCTTCTCTTGCACACCCACTATGAGATGCCATACACCATTGTCACATACCCCAGATGTTCTCACCAAAGGCCAATTGGTGGACTAGTTGGTCTTAGACTTTTGCCTGTAAAACTGCAAGCTTCTTTTCTTTGTAAAGCACTCCTCTCAGATACTTAGAGCAACAGAAAACAGACTAAGAGAGTAGTGGCATGAAGCTGGAGGAGATCACCTAGCACTAGGGGACCCAAAGACAAGAGAAGCAAGGGGACTGTGGCTTCCTGGGAGCTCCTAGACCTCACAGACCCCAAGGGGACAGGCACTGAAGGTGGGTTCCAGAGAGATGGCATTGGTTGGCGGTCATGGAGCTGGAGTGGCAGCTTGGATCCTGCAGGCTGTTGCTATCTTTGGCTTCTCTCCACTCTGCAGATGAGGTGACCTGAGTCTGGGCTTTCCCAAGTGAGGCTGAGTGTCTTGAGTTCTGAATCCTGGGAGATGAAGCATGGTGCCTGGGCCTGTTAGATGTGGGACTTCCCACCATCCCAAGTGGGAGAGGG